TGATGTTACTGATACTGGCCTTTTGCATGTCAGTAGCGTTGACTTTGGTGATCCATTGCGGAAGCATGAAATGCATTGCAGGTTAGTTCTCTTAGTGACAAGGTTTAGATTATCACAAAGACAAGTGATCTCTTATCTCCTCATTTCCATTGGGTACAGGTTCAAGCATAAACCTCCTTTACCCTGGACAGCAATAAATGCATCAGTTGGGCTCCTTGTTATTACTCTTCTTGTTGGCCACATCTTTCATGCAGCCATTAGTAGGATTGCAAAAGTTGAGGAGGACTATCTTGAGATGACGGAGCTCAAAGCTCGTGCTGAAGCTGCGGACGTGGCAAAATCTCAGGTACATTTCCCTGTCCTTTTGATGGATTTCATCCTATAAATATGGCTTCTACTCCTTGCATCTTTATTTATCTTCTATTTGAAATATTATTACTTAAGAAGTTCTACATTCTTCCGGCAACTGAAGTATTCTCATCCTTGCAGTTTCTTGCAACTGTTTCCCATGAAATAAGGACCCCAATGAATGGTGTTTTAGGAAATTAGAAATGTGTTGTTTATACAATGCATATCCTGCCAATATGGAAAATTTATATCTAAATGCTGCGTCCAACATATTTTAGGTATGCTGCAAATGCTGATGGAGACTGATCTGGATGTAAACCAAATGGACTATGCCAACACTGCTCATACTAGCGGAAAGGATCTAATTGCACTGATTAATGAAGTTCTAGATCAGGCTAAGATAGAATCAGGCCGGCTAGAATTGGAAGCGGTTCCCTTTGATCTGCGTTCTGTTCTTGATAATGTTCTATCACTATTTTCAGGGAAATCCAATGAAAAAGGGATTGAGGTACATATAAAGCAACTCTCTTTATTGCTCATTTTCTTCTCCTTTTCTTGGCATTGATATCATTTCTAACCCAAGCTTGTCTCCAATTGTTCTTTTGGGTGAGAGAAGTTGGCTGTTTATGTTTCTGACCAGCTCCCTGAAGTTGTTATTGGTGACCCTGGACGGTTTCGGCAGATAATTACAAATCTTGTTGGAAATTCGATAAAGGTTGGTTTCAGCAAAATAATTATGGCTACAGTTTTTGTTCAATATTTGAAATAATCTTTAATACAACTGCCATTGCTATAAGCTACATATCTAATTGTGGATGGTGTCAGATTGATGATTCATCACTATAGCTAAAAGCTTTGCATATGCAGTTTTCTATTTGTATGTAACATCTCATTGATTGTGCAAATTTGGTTCACTAATGTTTTCCACTGTTATACCCTCAGTTTACACGCGACAAAGGGCACGTGTTTGTTTCTGTGCATCTGGCAGATGAAGTGAATAGCCCTCTTGATGCCAGGGATGCAGTGCTTAAACAAGGCCTGGAGTTAGTTCAGGATACATCAAGCAAAGTTTATGACTCATTGAGTGGGTTTCCTGTTGTCAACCGATGGAAAAGTTGGGAGAAATTTAAAAAGTCAAGCTGCATAGATTCTAGGGATGAACCTGAAATGATTAGACTACTAGTTACAGTTGAGGATACAGGAGTGGGAATACCAGCAGATGCACAGGGACAAATTTTCACGCCTTTTGTGCAAGCTGACAGTTCCACTTCACGAAAATATGGTGGAACTGGAATAGGATTAAGCATTAGCAAATGTCTGGTGGATCTCATGGGTGGGGAGATTGGGTTTGTTAGTGAATGTGGCATTGGCAGTACCTTTTCATTTACTGTTTCTTTCAAAAAAGGAGAATCAACTTCTCTGGATACAAAGTGGCAGCCTTATGATCCAGCTGTTTTGGAGGTCCGAGGATGGAGAGCCCTGGTAATTGATGAAAGAAGTGTCCGAGCTGAGGTCACAAAATATCACTTGCAGAGGTTGGGAATAACTGCAGATATAGCTTCCAGTCTGAAGTCAGCATGTGCATATCTATCTAGTGTTTACTGCACAAGGTACATTTGATTTTATTAGCATAGTTGTGAAAATTTGAGGTTGGCTAGAACGTGATTAATGTTAAACTGTCATGAAAAAAAAAAAAAAACTCTTGTTATTGCAAATGCCAATCCATGCTTGCAAAAATTGCCTTCTTATCTGACACGTAGTGTAAAATTTGGAAATTTATGAAAGAAAGTTACTACTTGATGAGTTTCAGAAAAACATTACTGTCATATGATATTCAATTTGATTTTCTGATGTGTGCTTAATTCCTTTTAACAGTATTCCAGCAGATTTGCCTATAGTTTTTATTGACAAAGATGCTTGGGACAAAGAATCTGGTGTTGCTTTCCATCATTTGCTGAAAATGCCCAAGAAAAATGACAGGACAGATATCCAGGTAGACCTTTCAAAGATTTTTCTCTTGGCTACCACCATCAGCTCTGATGAACGCTTAGAGCTAAAAACCTCTGGTTTAGTAGATAATGTACTGGTGAAGCCTCTTCGGTTAAGTGTCTTAATCGCTTGCTTCCAAGAAGCTTTTGGAAGCGGTAAGAAGGGTGAAGTAAATAGGAAGAAACCACCAGCACTTCAGAATTTACTGAGAGGAAAACAAATTTTGGTGGTGGATGACAATTTGGTAAACAGAAGAGTGGCTGAGGGTGCTCTTAAAAAGCATGGAGCAATTGTTACCTGTGTGGAGAGTGGCAAGGCTGCTTTAGAAAAGCTTAAACCACCACACAGTTTTGATGCTTGCTTCATGGACTTCCAAATGCCAGAAATGGATGGGTAATCTCTCTGTTCTAATAGAATAATTATGTTTTTTGACTTTCTTTCTTTCATTGGAAATGTTCAGTCACGGATTCCTACATCCAAAAATTATCCAGTCTGTAATCATCGTGCAGCTTTGAAGCCACACGACAAATCCGGTCTATGGAGAGTCAGTTCAATGAGAAAATTGCATCTGGGAAAACATCAATGGAGCTACTTGGAAATGTAGCATATTGGCACACACCAATATTGGCAATGACAGCTGATGTGATTCAGGCAACAAATGAAGAATGTCTAAAGTGTGGAATGGATGGTTATGTGTCAAAGCCATTTGAAGATGAGAAGCTTTACAATGCTGTGACACGGTTTTTTTAGTCTAGTTGATAGAGTGGATTGACATGCTAGAAGTTGCTTACATCTCTTCAGCCTGCTGGCGGATCCATGTATTTTGGTTGACCCTAAATGCATTTGTTTGGCCAACTGGCAACAAGCCACAGCTAAGAGGTCATGGAAGGAATGGTCAATGCCACACTCTTTCTTCTAATCTTTCCACCCCTCGTGATTTCCGGCGTCATGGTAAGTTTTTTCCAATGATCATGCATATGTGCATAAAATTCCCAATGTCTTTATGAATAAAAACTTTTCATCCATATCCTCAAATAAGGCTCCTCTCTTCTTTGAAACTCCTAAATAGATTTACTTCATGAGACCTTCAATGTTTGCGGAAAACCTATCTTGTTCATACCACATTATTCTTTGTTTCTTTTATTCTCAAAGGGATATGTTATGCTTCAATGTGAAACTAGGTTAGATAGTTGATATTTCTACAAACCATGCCCACTGCTGTTTAAATTGTCTAAGCTTATTGAAATTCTTGTTTGTACTGAATTTCCCATATATGATGCTATGAAATGCTCTCTGTAAATGTTAGAAGTGTCAGCAACTGCAGAGTCATCACTGTATTTCGTGAATTTAATTGTTCGACTTCTCATATAATAGGGGTGTGTAAAGAATAGTTATTTGTTTCCAGGAATCTGAGCTTGCGACAAACCTATGGGTTCAAGAATGCATGGATCTGGTGAGCGCAATCAGGTGCCTTTGATCAGTTGTTGGCACCATTTCCCACTCTGTAATTGCTCCAAGATGAAATAGCTAAATGGTGCTGGTGGCTTTTCTGCACATACTAGTTTTGTCTACACTATCATTCTATTCCCTTCTCAATTTTGTTTTCCAAATTCTTCATTCTTGTAGGCTGTTCATAAAATGTCACAATGCTGCGTTCTTTGAACTCTAATGAGATGATCAATTCATCTTTCTATCCTTGATGGATTTGTGCATAAGGACATGTGCGAGCTAAAGAGGTTAGAATGTTGAACGAGCCATCTAATTAGGGTTTTGGGTACAGCCTTATGACATTTTAATATTTATCTAAATATTCTCCCTCTAAGGAACAGCACAATAATAGCAGGCGATGAACATATGATGTGGTAAAGCCCCGGAGTGTACAGGAAACCGCAGTTACCATGAGGCTTTATAGGGAGCAGATTTTTTTTTTTTGTCAAAGTGTGAATTTGTATTCATTCTGATTGGTTCCTCTGGTCTTGTATGTAGATGAGAATGAGGTGCCGTGACTGTTGGTCATGTGTAAAGTAGGAGCTGTTTGTAACTCGTTCATTCTTCGTTGTATCATAAAATGTAACAGTGTATTGTATACGGTGTGAATATGAAGTCAACTAGATTCTTTTTTGGGGGCAAAAGTGTTGAGCTAAATCTGATGCATCCCTTGTTTTGATCCCTTTTTTTTTTTTTTTGTATTCATCAATGCATGCCCATGTTTTTGCCGTTATGGTGCCTCGTTTAATACCAGCTGATATGCCCCATAATGCATTAGAAGTTGTGGGCAGGGCCGTTACCTTTGATACTCACCTGCTACCTGATTTGGTGAAGATGATGCGCAGCAAAAATGTGGTTGATAAATGTTAGGGAGAGACTGCTGGGAGAAATACATGGTCATTTGCCTTCACATTGGGCAAAAGATACCATTAATCATATTGATGGATACTGTTTACGATTCTAAAGCATAAGCTCCATCTTTTTACACAGTTGCTTCATTTTCCCCACTTCTAATCATGTGAGATATGCCATTCACATGGACACCTAAGAACAGGACAAGCAAGGCACCTTTCATATTGGACTGGCCAGAACATAGGATGCCTGCAGATCGAGATACCATGGCCATGAATAATCTGAATCATTTTAAAAGATGGGAGTTGTTCGCTTTATACAATTGGAATCCCTTAAACTCAATGTAAATAATATAGTATAGCAGAAGCACAGCCTTTTCTTGTTGGGGTGAAAATCAGCTTATGTGGAACGCATCTGCGAGCTGACTTCGTATACCCCCCTTCACATGACTGTCACTTTGTTGTCTAGCAACCGAATTACCATAATTTACTCGGTGTACGGGTTTTTTTTTTTTTTGTGTTCTATATATGGATCTAACCAACAAGCTTTCTGTGGATACACTTCTCTGCAACAGATTAGGTTATTCTGCCATTGTGACCTGTCTTTGTTTCTTTCTTTCGAAAATATGCCAATCCTTTGGAAAAGGACAATGCTAGCCCTTCTTATCCTGTCCATAACTCCTAGGAAATCAGGTAAGCTAAGCAATACAGCCTGAACTCCCATCTGAGGAGAAGCTGTGTCGTAGCTGGTTCGTTTTATCATTATTTATCGTAGGTTGTTTTGTTCATATCTCACACAAGTTCTTGTTTGTGTATGTCTGGAAATAAATACCAGATGGGGAATTAGAGCAATGGTGCATAGCAGATGAGCAGACCCCAGATGATGAGTTGCAGAGAGCACTGGACTGGGCTTGTGGAAAAGGTGGTGCGGACTGCAGTAAGATTCAAGTGAACCAGCCTTGCTATTTGCCAAATACTGTGAGAGACCATGCTTCCTATGCCTTCAACAACTACTTCCAGAAGTTCAAGCACAAAGGTGGATCTTGCTACTTCAAAGGAGCTGCTATCATTACAGAACTTGACCCCAGTAAGCACTTGCTAAGCTATTTTTTTTTAATCTCTAGTTATTTCTCGACTTGTTTTTAGTGAGGCCCCACCATAGGAAAACTTGCAGCATGTAAATATCAAATTATCTACTTTTGATTATGAAAAGAAAAGGGAGACAATTCTGTTTTCCACATGCTTAGAAAGTGCAAGACATGTGAGAGTAGCAGCTGGAAATCATTTTCTATACTTTCTCTGTGTTAAATGATTCTCATTGTTCTTTTAAAAAATTGACGTGCAGGTCATGGCTCTTGCCAGTACGAGTTCCATCCCTGATTCAAATCCATGAGAACCATTAACAAAGATCAGCTTTTCACCAGGGATAAAGAGTTTAAAGATGATCAGCTTTTCACCAGGGATAAAGAGTTTTCAGTTTCAGACATTTTGTTCCTTTAATTTTTAGCAGCATTGAGCTTTTCTCATTGCAAATTAAATCAGGTTTTCACATGAGATGAGCTTAGACACATACTTTGCCAAGGTCCCTTCCTAGTTTTCGTTCTACTTCATATTTTCTTCAACAGATTTGCTTCCACTGATGTCCATTTCTGGAACTGAAAATCTTTTTTCTTCTAGACACACATGAGATTGCTTTCATCATGTAGCAACATGAAGCAATCAATTTAGCAATCGGAAAAGCAATTGCAAATCTCTTTCAGAAAAGTTTGAGACTCGTATTGAAGGATGCACTGAAGAATCGCAAAACTTTTTCTCTGCCATAGATATTTTTCATGGAACATAACAAATTGAAATCATCACTGCCAAATGAGGATTGCACATTTTTCCATTAAGAATACTCGCTGCACGATAGAAAATATCAGAAATAAATGTAAACTTACATTTACTTTAAGTTCCCTTAGACTCCGAACAGTGATTGAGAAACTGCATTGAAGCAATCCAATAATTTCACATGCAATATGATATATAATACATAGAGATATGAAATATGAACCATCATCAAGCTAGTGAATAGATAGTTAAACAAAGTTCCCTCAGTATCTGCTAAAACCCCAAAGCATTGATGCATGATACTTGTGACGCAGAAATGAAGATTCACCGCAACTTAGAGAGGTCTATCCTTAGAGAAGCAAGCTTGCCCAAGCACCAATAAATGCAAAGCCACCAAATGGAGCCAAAGTAGAATACTTTCTGTCCTCAAGAAGTGCCACAGTATAACACCTACACAATTCCAGATTAACTTCTTTCAAACTTTAATCTCCAATGGTGTACGTTGCGAATGGAAAAGATAACTTGCTCAAAACAGGACACTAAGAAAAGAATAATCTAGATGAAAGCAAACCTCCACTAATGCAAGTTAAAATAGTTGTAGAAAAAGTAATGACTGAAATACAGCGTTGCAATCAATTTAGCTTAACTAGAGCCGCGAGAATGGAGGTATCATAAGGTGTTTTCCTTTTTCGAGACAAATGCTACCCGAGCTGTAAGTCCAGCCAAGCAAACAATATAGCTTAGTTGGTATAGGAACTCCTTTATACAGCTATATCTACAGTCTAAACTGAGAGCAAATATATGCTTGGTTCCTGGCTCTTTCCCAAGCAACAGAAATATAACATTATTCCAAACATAAGCTGAAACAATAAAAGCATTGAGTTCCAGTAAGTCTATATCCACAAAACAAAGAAATCAAATGTAATGTATGGTTCTAGATGTTGGTAGCTGAGGCTCAGTATAACAATAAGACAGTTGCAGGTCAGTTTGTTATTGATATATTTTAAGGTTTCTTATCATTACTAAAGTCACCTGGTCGATTAAATTGTCATGAGAAAAATGCATATGGTCAAAGCCTCAAAAAAGGATTTTTCAGTCGCAAATCAACAACAAGAGCAGCTTCAGAAAAAAAACGATGCAAATGCAAATTCAAAATCTCAACAAACTTTCAATCGAAAACAGGTAAACATGAAAACATAATGACTTACGTTCCAGAGAAAGCAAGAATCCCAGTAGTCAAAAGGCCTCCAAACTGAGACAACAAAGTTCAATCAGAATTAACAAAAGAAATGAAAGAAGCAAGAAGGTGGGAAAGACGGAAGAAACTCACAATGTGGGGGTGTTTGGTGATAGGAGCAGCAAGAAGGGCTGCAGTGTGAACCAAATGGTATAAAGACGCTGTTTGCCATACCTTCACAATCACAATCAAGAATTGCTTGCTATCATTTAGTACTATTGTTTAACAAAAGACAGAGAGAGAAAAGAAGGACCTCTTTGTAAGTGGGATTTTGGGGCTTGAAGACATGAGCACCATAGGTCCCCAATCCGAGAGCTGCTACCCCTGTTTGTTTGTGATTTTTTCCAGTCAATCAAACATAAATTATACTGCCAGGAAATATAAATTTGAAGGGGTAGCATAGCAGGTAAGTACCAGAGACAGCAGCTATTCTGTGCCACATAGAAGGATCCATTCTTCTTCGACTTGAACTTCCTTATGCTTCGCTTCTTGATCTCTCTCTCTCCCTCTCTCCCTCTCCCTCTCTCTGGGTTTCAGCCTCCAGGACAGGAGGAGAGTCAACTACTCTTAAAGATCCATGGGCCAAAGATTGATGATACTATGTGGGCCGATTATCAATTGGGTAATGGGTAATATCTGATTGATTCTACTTCTTTATGTTTATATTGGGCTGGATCTGAGCCTAACTCCCCAAATCTCACTTACCACATGTAAAGAGTGTCCACCACTTCTTCAAACAACTTAGCCTTTTTGTCACGAGGGCTCCCCAGCTTCACACGAATTGTACACAAAATAGAAAAAAAAATATACTAAACTATAGTTGGTGTATAGCATGAAAAACCCTAATTAATAAAGTTTTGTTTCCTAGATGGTTATACCATCATATGAATTGTTATATATTAGCCGTTTGTTTTTGTATTTTAAAAATATTTTTTAAAAATTTAAATATATATTTGATTTTAATTAAAAATTTTTTTTGTGTTTTCTGATATACTTGATATATCAATATTAAAAATTAATTTTTAAAAATAAAAAAATATTCTTGATATATCAATGTTAAAAATTAATTTTTAAAAATAAAAAATATTATTTTAATGTATTTTAAAATAAAAAATATTTTAAAAAACAAACCGTAACCAATATCATACTAAAATAACCATGTACTCCTGTGGCGGGCTAAAAAAAGAGAGATGGATCAAGTGATAGCAAGGATATCCCCACATGTTGGAATGTTTTTAGTTTTTAGGTTGAACCCAATAATTATGGAAACAAATTAGGGACAGGAAAATAAATAAAGCTTAGCCTTTATATGGTTTTTGATGTGATGTGAAGGGTGCGCACGCTTTTCCTTTTTATCTTTAGATTGCTTGGCAGGTAATGAGGTTGGTGACAATTCAAAGAAGATCATCATCTATGATGCCAAACTAAGAGGTGATTTTGTCCAGCAACCTGCTAACAATGGTAGGGTAAACATTCAGAAATGTCCTCCAACTCAAGATCCACTCTCCAACTCCTGTTTCAAGTTCGAACAAATGCGTCAACGTTGCCTCTATATCTATATCATATCATCCAAGATTATTTTCTTTCTTTACAGTATATCATGCAAGATTATATACACATGATGTCCAAGTTCATGCATGGATCATGCGGAATACGGCAAGTTAGAAAGAAAAACGATGATCTTTTAAAATGGGGTTAGAAGGAGAGCAATCAAAAGAGAAAAAGGAGGACTTTGATCTTTTGAAAATCAAATCTTGAACAAATTCTCGTAGGCTTTACTTTATTATTTGCATCTTATTCATAGAGAATCTCTGCGGTAGTTGTTCCATTCTTGAAATCTTAGGTCGAATCTTTCCGGTTAGAGAACAAATTCTCATATTCATGCATTGATAATATCTTTTCAACATTCAATGGAATGTTGGGTTAAATTAGCTGCTTCTTGAGACTTCAAGTCTAAGAAAACAAAAGGTTCTTCTTCTAAGGTCTTTTCCCCCTCCAGAAAAGAGTATATTCAATTAATTTATGCATTAGTCAAAGTAAAAAAGAAATCTTCTACTGATTTTAAGAGGTATTACCCATATCAATGTAGCATATCCAAAATAATCTTAATCTTTGATCATCATAACCAACCAACGCTTGAGTGACATTTTACTAGATTAAAATCAAAGTACTTGAATAAAATGAAAGGGACAAGATATGTATATATAAATATTAATGTTTGCAACTTGTGTTAATGGGCTGCATTCTCTTTGGGATATAAGCACGCATGCCAGCGAAACCAATAAACAAGTTCCCGACAATAGCTTTATAAGTTCCAAGAAAGATGTCTAGCTCAACTTTGAATCCCTACGTTGACAATACGATCATATGATGTCCTGGTGATAAATATTGGCAAGGACAACATTGAAACTTGCCTGTTTTGAATTTGGTGCGTACGTGCACTTCACAAATGAGCCACGCATGTGTTTTTAGCAAGCAAGAATCCATCGACATCACCAAAAAATATGTTCCATAGCGCCCATCCATCCCTTGAATTTGGTGCGTACGTGCACTTCTCATTGCAATATTTGCCTTGCCATTCCGACAATGAATCGAGTTAAGGGCCCTAGTTTTGAGTCACAAATGTTCGATAGCCATCCCTTGATCATGAGAATTCGTTGGCCATCCATTGTCATTGATCCCTGGTTCATGCACATTTGCGTACGGTCTCCAATGTTCTGTGAAAGTTATCGCAGATTAAGCTAGGGGCTCGAATCATTGCCCGCCTGGTCTTCAAGAATTAGGTTTATTGCAGAATTAGCTAGGTGCACGGATCATTGCCTGCCTGGTCTTCAAGAATTAGGCCTTGTCGAGAGACAAACAAGTGTCGAAAGGACCCGCATGGGACCCAAATAGCAAAGTGGAAGATGGGTCAATATGAGGCTCAATCGAAGGGATTTTAGCTTTTACAGAAACAACACCCAATCAGCATAGCATACGCCAGAAAGAGCAGAAAATAAATGGCATCCATTCTCCCAAAAGCCCATGAATTTGGTCGGCAAAACGAGAGGGATGTTTGCATACAAAAGTCAAAGTCTCATCATGGCTTGGCTCATCTAGTTTTGTCTTCCGGCCTCATAGAAATTTGGGATATTTGGGATATTGATTTCTAGTGTCATTTACATGAATCATGCGCGCGGGGTTCTATCCGGACACCGTATGTGGGGTTTTGGAATCGAGTAGGAGTTTGCCCCCCCTGAGCCTTGACCTTTTTATTGCTCTCTTGCTTTTTCATCTTGTGGGTCCAATCCAAATACAAATGTATAACAAAGAAAAAGAAAATTTGCAGTTGATTTAATTGTCAATGACTGATTTTGTAGACTTTGTCGAATAACGAACACTGTTGTTTTTCTTTGACAAAAACTTTTTTTTTTTTTGAAAAAGAGAGAGAGAGAGACCAATGGCCTTGCATTCGAATCTGCCCCCCAAAACGGGAAGATGGGTGTCCATTCCAACTTTCAAGTCCTCCATAAGTGAGGCCTCTTCCTAGCAACTCAGCGAAGGAATTCAATTCCATGCAAAATTTCAAGAAGCTTAGTGACTGCCACA